ACGTCATCTTTCGGCATCGTAGTATAGGCTAGATAGGATCTGCCATCTGTAGTCTGGGCGCCGAGCGCCAGATAGGATATCAACTCTGGTTCTTCATTGATGATGATGGGACTATTTCAGCATTGTCAATTATGAACTCTTGGTGTGTTCTTATTTGGTGAATGTCGTGATGCAATTCTGCTGTTGGTTCGAGGTCACGATTATCTGGACTCATATGTATGATGCTGTTTGATTCCTGAAGTTTGCTATTGTTCATCTTTCTTGCAATTTGGTATCGGAGCTTGGTACGTTTGCGCTCATCTGGCGCTTGTCTTCTGCCTGGTATGGTACATACATGCGGTCTGCTTGGCGAGTTTGGCCGTAAGTGGTGTGTAGTGAGGAGGGCGGAGGCAAGTGAGTGGCGACCCAGGATGTGAGGGGATCGCCAGGAGTGGTGTGTAGTGAGGAGGGCGGAGGCGAGTGAGTGGCGCTTGTCTTCTGCCTGGTACGGTACATACATGCGGTCTGCTTGGCGAGTTTGGCCGTAAGTGGTGTGTAGTGAGGAGGGCGGAGGCGAGTGAGTGGCGACCCAGGAGGTGAGGGGATCGCCAGGAAGGCTACGTGGGGTAATGTGGTCTGGATAGTGTGATGAGAACTATCTAATGTGCGATTGATGCTGAGGTGGAACGGCGAGATAATGCTGGTTGTGCCGATGCAGTGACTGGTCATCGCAATCGCCATCAGGTCATCTGGTGAGAATATCTCTGTGGTTGGGGGCAGCTATTTGAGGTACGTTGCTCTTAACCTTATCTACCCTCTCCGACACTTCTTACCCTGAGGTTGTGTGTTCCTTCTTGACAGTCCTCTCATTGTGACGTGTCGAGTGCGCTCAACCTTGAGAGTCGGCAATGTTCACGCGGAGCATCTGGGAGAAGATGGGCGGAGCTTTCTGAAGGGCCCTGGACGAAGCACTGGGTCACGGTCACCATGCCAGCCCACAGGGACTAGAGCACGCATGCCTTGCTGCTTGTCCTTGTTCAGCTTGCTGCGGTGTTAGATGGGTACTGATGGGCAGGCCAGCCCTTAAGGGAGACGAGACCGGGGGTCTTTAAATAAGCACCGGAAGGGGAACCATTGGCTGTGATCGTCGTCCGGCTGCAACGTAAAAGAATTCCTGGAGTCACTTGGGGGCGGACGTTAAATTGCCTCTGGATCAGCCAATGGTTGTAAGGCTCGCTGCACGCGAGGATAATCCAGTGCAGGGCTGGCCAGCTCAGCAGATACTCGGGGCACAAGGGTGGGACGGACACACACCTTTAGACACGCGACGCTCTCCAGATCGCTCAGGGACACTGACGTCAAGTGATACTCAAGGGAACTAAGGGAGGGGTAAATTCCAGGTGATAAGTTCGAGAAAATTCCATGCTGTCCTATCCACACAAATAATTCCATTTTTATGTTTTGATTAGTTAGGTGTACAGCCATTGACATCTGACAAACAGCATTAGTTAGAACTGCTTCTTGTTCATGATGCTTCTGTTTGCGGACTAGTCAAACTAAAAATAGTTTTATTTGTAGGAATCTGACTTACCTGTTGACCCGAATGTAAAGTCCCCGAAATAGCCACTAGTTAGGTCTGTGCACTACGCTGCGGTAGACACCTAGAGTGCATTAGTGCAGATTGTGTACAGTGCTGTAGCTTATGACCGATAGGGAGGAACAGCTACCGGACGACCGGATCTTGCGATCGGCAAGGCGCCCAGCAACCCACTTGGCATTAGGACCAGAGGGCGACAGACATCTGTTCCGCCAGCTTAGGGAGAGGCAGCAGCAGCAGAGGAGGGCTAGAGCGGCAGAGGCTAGCAGGGCACTTATGAGTGAAGCCGCAGCTTCAGAAGCCATGGCCACCGTAGTGCAGCAGTCTACTCAGGCCGGTAGTTCAGGGTCTGTTGGGTCAACGGTCGCGCAGACCCAGAGTCAGTCCACTGGCGTCATGGCGAGCCAGCCACAAGTGTTAACTCCCGATGAGATCGCCATACAACAGGCAGCATTGCAGGAGGCACAGCTACGTAAGGCGTAAGGAAATATAAAAGCGGAGAAAGATAGGATGATTAGAAGAAGAGCCAGGATGCAACGTAGACAAGCGGACGTAAGTGAGTTATCGGAGATGGACCTGACGCACGTAACTGATGATGTGAGACTCATACGGTCTGTCCTGCTGAATGTAGTGGAGATGCAGGACCATCAGACAACCATCCTTCCGGACATTCAGCAAAGTCTGGCCCTGTTGGTTGGTCGAGCGCAGGCAACGTCGCCAATGTCTGGGCCTGGGGCCTGGCCCGTTGTACAGCCTCCTCCTTTTGTCCCACCCGTGACTGGGGTATCCCCATATGTAGGCCCATCATCGGTTGCGATCGTTTCCCTGGGCATGCCGCTCTCAGGAGGGGTATCAGCAGGGACTAGTTTGCAGGTTCTTGTACAGACAGTGTACACCCAAACTCCGTTGCAGGTTGCAGTCACCACGCAGCCTGTTGTCTCGCAGCCTGTGCAGCCGCACCCAAACTCCGTTGCAGGTTGCAGTCACCACGCAGCCTGCTGTCTCGCAGCCTGTGCAGCCGCACCCAAACTCCGTTGCAGGTTGCAGTCACCACGCAGCCTGCTGTCTCGCAGCCTGTGCCGCCGCAGCGCACACAGCCCCAACAGCTAGCACAGCAACCTGTGTCACAGGGTCCACAGCCCGCCGTGATGCAGGGACCGGGACAAACACAGTGGGTTCCAAAGACGGCCATTGCCGCTCGGAAACCCTTCACAGGAGACAAGAGAGGCGAAGGCCTCCGCACATGGTTGAGGCCAGTGCCAGTCTATGTCAGGTGTGAACTTACCTTGCCGCACGAAGAAGTGTTTGTGGCTGCTTCCTACCTAGAGGGTAGCGCAGCAAGATGGTTGAGTGGTTTAGTGCAGCTCCAAGGGTATGGTCATGACTTCCACGCTTGGGCGGTCACCGAGAAATTGGAGGACTTCCTTGAGATGGTGGAGGAAAGGTGGCACGATCCTCAGGAGGCCCAAAGGGCCACTGATGCGATCCTGACACTGCACACACGAGAGTTTAAGTCAGTAAGGGAAGCCACCGAAGCTGTTGAGCGTCTGATCTGTGTCCCTGGGGTGCGCTATGACCCCCAGGTTATGCTTACCTTGTACCTGAGATTTCTTTGCCTCTCAGGAACCAGTTGGCAAGTCAGGCCAACATCAATATGCACAACTTTCCTTCGTTTAGCAAGATGGCCCTAGACCTTGAGGCGAAGATAGGGCATGGACAGACACCCACTACGGATGGAAGGAGAAAGACACTGGCTCCTAACTGGAAGGCGAAGGGGCGCATGATGTTTATCGATAACGATGGTTCAACCATCGAATTAGACAAACACTTCCAGGAAGGAGTAGGTTCAGAGGCTGGCAGCGCAGAAGCTTCAGAGGGTGAAGTGGTCGCTGTCGTAACTCGGAAAGGTAAGGCGACCGGTAGACGCTGCGAAGGTTCCCGGTCAAGGAGTCAAGTTGACCCCAACGCTCCCCCATGAGAGAAGGCGGGTCTTACAGAGGACGTGTGGAGAGATCGGTACACATGGCAGGCTTACATTCGTTGCGGTCAATACGGCCATAATCAGTTTAAGTGTCGTAACAAGAAGGTGACCGACAAGATCCCGCCTACGATGGGGCAGGCGGTAGGATCCTCACATCCCATTGGTAGCAATGTAGCCAGCACTTCAGGCTCTGCTCCGAGAAACACGTCGGGCCAGTAGGAATAGTAGTTGTTCCTACTAGGGTCGAGGTGGTGGAGACACCCTCACCATCTCGAGAGATGGCCCAAGCTCCTGACTCCAGCGTCGTCCCGCAAACACGTTCAAACACATCGAGCCTCTGTTCAATGAATGTGTTTGAGTCCTGAGAGGAGTTAGAGGTGGAGTGGTCTAGATCACACCGGCTAGCTTCTTGGACGGCCCTAGTCAAAGCCCCTAAGGGTGAGATGTTCGTCAGCGAGGTTGTCATTGGCGGCCGCAAGGCCGGGGCCTATTATGACACTTGCTCGACACGAAACTTCATCAGTCGCGCGTGCGTTGAGAGGCTGCGTTTGCAGGGGCGAGTGCAGCGTCTGAGTCGACCTGTGGAGTCGACCTGTGCCAACAAACAGCGCATGGTAGTCAATGACTACCTCCAGGATGTAGAGTGTTGTTTCCCGTGCGCAAGAGGGGAATTGAGACATCGCGTCTCGTTCCTAGTGAGCGATGAACTCCCCATGGACATGTTGTTAGGTATGTACTACCTCTCTATGGCACAACAGCCCCAGTTTGACTGGGACCGGAAAGTGGTCAAACACACTTTGCCAGGTGGAGGGACCGCCAGATTACACAAGTTCAAAGCTAGTAGTCTGATCGAGTCCCATGGGATGCATGTGTGCGGCCGCGTTCTATAACTATTATAAGCAAAATCAGGAGGGTATGTACTTAGTTTATGTCTCTGCTACATGCGAGCCAGTGAAAATGCCGCCGCAGATAGAGGGAGCAGTTGCCAAGTACCCTGATCTATTTGAAGAGCCGACAGGGGTTGTAGAGAGGGAGGTTGTCCGCGCGATAGAGATTATCCCAGGGTCTAGTATCCCAAAGGGTAGTGTCTATTGGATGTCTCCAGGCGAGCTCGATGAGCTTCGCCGACAACTCAAGGAACTCGCAGAGAAGGGTTGGATCCGGCCGAGTGTCTCTCCTTATGGATCTCCAGTACTATTTGTACGTAAGAAGGAGGGTACACTTAGGATGTGCATTGACTATAGGGGCCTCAATGCCATCACTGTAAAGAACAGAGAGCCCCTACCTCGCATCGATGATCTGCTAGATAGAGTGCAAGGGTGTCGGTACTTCAGTAAGATAGATCTGAAGTCCGGGTACCGTCAGATTGCAATCCGGCCCAAGGATCAACACAAAACCGCCTTTCAGACCAGGTACGGTCTGTACAAGTTTGTGGTGATGCCTTTCGGCCTATGCAATGCTCCTGGCACCTTTCAGCACGCTATGAATCGAATATTCCATGACTACTTGGATAAGTTTGTCATCGTGTACCTCGATGACATACTTATTTTTAGTACGACTGTCGAGGAGCACGTTGCACATTTGGACAAAGTCCTCAGTCTCTTGCGACAGCACAAGTTCAAGATCAACGGTGAGAAGTGCGAGTTTGGCCGCACCCGTGTCTTGTACTTGGGTCATGACATCTCCGCGGAAGGGTTGAAGCCCGATGACGCGAAGGGGGCCAGCATTCGTGACTTGCCGCGTCCTCAATCTGTGACTGAGATGAGATCTTTCTTAGGAATGACAAGCTACTATAGGACTTTCGTTAAGAACTATAGCATAGTGGCCGCTCCTTTGACTGATCTGACCCGCCTTGACACCCCATGGGAGTGGACATGTGAGTGCGAGGCTGCTTTGAGGCATCTGAAGCATCCGTTGACGCACTACGAGGTCTTGAAACTCCCTGATCCTGATAAGCCGTTTATAGTCACCACGGATGCCAGCCAATATGGCATTGGCGCCGTGCTCGTGCAGCAGGAAGGGCCAAAGTTGAGGCCTGTAGAGTACATGTCCAAGAAAATGCCGTCTCAGAAGTTGGCTAAGTCCACCTATGAGAAGGAACTCTATGCAGTTTACAAGGCTCTGACCCACTGGAGGCACTATCTCCTTGGGAGGTTCTTCATCCTCAGGACTGATCATCACACCCTGAGATGGATGAGAACTCAGCCAGTACTCTCTGACGCTCTCAAGCGTTGGATCGAAGTCATTGAGCAGTATGACTTTGACCCTCGGTATTTGAAAGGGGAGTACAACAAGGTTGCTGATGCCTTGTCGTGTAGACCTGATTTCTCAGGTGCCTTGATTACTGAGTTTGATCTGACGGACAATGTTACTCAGTCCTTGGCTGAAGCCTATCGCGAGGACCAGTTCATGTCTGATTCATGCGCAAACTTCAGGCGAAGGACAAGAAGACCTCTGCCGAGTTTGAGTTGGTCAATGGCTTGCTGTTCCTTGAGAAGGCAGGGAATAAACGATTGTCTGTTCCTAATAGTGAGCCCTTGCGTAGTTTGTTTTTAGGAGAGTGTCATGATGCCACCGGTCATTTTGGGTACAAGAAGACCGCAACCAATCTGCTGCAGCGATTCTGGTGGTCCACGATGATGCGAGATGCCCAGCTGTACGTGGAAACTTGTCAAGTATGTATGAGGGACAAGCCACGTACGCAGGCTCCTCTTGGGCTCCTGAAGCCCCTTCCGATTCCGGAAAGGCCTGGTGAGAGTTTGTCCATTGATTTCATGGATACGCTGGTCACCAGCAAGAGTGGGATGAGACACATCTTCGTTATCGTGTATAAATTTAGTAAGTATGCTAGGTTAGTAGCAATGCCGGAAACAGCAAGGACGGAGTATGTGATCAGAATGTTCAAAGAGAACTGGGTCAGGGACTTTGGTTTACCGAAGTCTATCATCAGTGACAGGGATGTCCGGTTTACCAGCGAGTTGTGGAAGGTCGCTGCTGCAGAGCAGGGAACTCAGTTGCAAATGACTTCTGGGAATCACCCGGAGGCCAACGTTCAGGCTGAGCAACTGAACCGTGTTGTACAACACCTGTTGAGGCATTACATTAAGCCAACCAGGTGGATTGGGATGAGAAGCTTGCTCTCATCGCCAGCTTGTACAACAACGTTGTACACAGCGCCACCGGAGTGAGCCCAAACAGCTTACTGCTAACTTTTAAGCCTAGATTGCCCTTAGACTTTCTTCTTCCTGAGAATCAGTCCACTGCTGCACCAGGTACTTTAAAATTTGCTTATCGGTATGAACAGAAGATGCAGCAGCCTGTAGAATAGATGCAAAAGGCACAGGCGGCTATGATAGAATTTGCGAAGAAACACCGCCGTGAGTCTTCCTTTCAGGTTGGGGACAGAGTCTGGGTTAAGTCCTCAGAACTCGAACAGGAGCACGGGATCTCCTGCAAGCTCATGCCACAGTACTTTGGACCTTGGGAAGTATCAGACATCGTTGGGACAGATCTGGATGGGCCATCTTATGTTATCCGGATCCCTGGTCATCTTCGAACTTACCCTGTCTTTCACGCCTCCAAGCTTGCGCCTTTCAAGGAAACTGAGGAGTTTCCTTCTCGTCGCTCAATGCTGCCCCCAACCATGGATGGAGAAGTGGACATCGATGACATTGTGGATCACAGGGAGCTGCGCGCTCAGAGACCTGCAGGGAGGGGACGTCCTCCGAAACCGAAGCTGCAGTACAGCGTTCGGTTCAAACATCATACTGATCCCAAGGAGGACCGTTGGTTCACGAGGGAAGAACTCATGCAGACCGCTCCTCAAGTTGTAGCCCACTATGAGAAATCTCTGCAGAAGGGAAAGCGCCCCATGATTGAAGAGTGAGCTTCTCAGAGGACTGTTGAAGCTAAGGAGGAGGGAATGCGAGGCCACTGCCTCGATGAGCCCCATAAGGCCCCATTTTGCAGCCCGTCGGCCGCCCTAAGTGAAGGCAGGCTCGACGAGGCCCTCAGGGCCCTAATCTGGCCACCATGCAACTCAGGGAAATTCAGGCAGTTGTGCTGCGCCAGTTGGTTGAGTGAACCCAGGTCCTGGGCCGCCTGTGTGAATGTATGTGAAGCAGGCCCTGGGCTGGATACGGGTACTGGGCCTAACACAGGCCAAAGGCAGTTGGGCACATGCAACTACCTCAGG